GAAATTCTGCCTGTGAATCTATGAATTTTGACATTTTGTGTTGAAATTCTGACTATTTTTTTGAAATTTAATTTTCAAAATCATCGAATTTTGTCTTCGATTTTCGAAATTTTAACTCTAAACCCAAAATTCTGAATTCAAAATTTGTGAATTGTGAAATTCTGACTATTTTTTGAAAATTCATTACCTATTGGAAAACATGAAATTTTATCTCCCATTTTTTAAACAATTCGTTTGAAAATTCACTCTTCAAAAACATTAAGTTTCGCCTTTCATTTCTGGAATTCTAAGTTTAAATCTTGAGTTCAAATTTGTGAATTTTGACATTTTGTCCTAAAATTCTGACCATTTTGTTGAAAATTCAATTTTAAAACCCGAAATTTTAACTTAAAATTAGTGAATTTTATAATTCTGATTATTTTTTTGAAAATTCATTATTGAAAAACATGAAATTTTCTCTTAAATTTTTGGAAATCTGACAAATTTTTTTTGAAAATTCAGTCTATAAAAACATTAAATTTCGCCTTTAATTTTTGGAATTCTTTAAATTGGAACTTCAAGTTTGTGAATTGTGACTATTTTCTTAAAAATACAATTTTCAAATCACCAAATTTTGTCTTTAATTTTCCGAATTCTAACTTTAAAACTCAAAATACTGGCTTCAAAGCTGTGAATTTTGCTTTTCCAAAAATTCATTTTTTTTATAAATCCAGCCTTAAAAACAAATTTTGTCCTTCATTTCCGAAATTCCAACTTTGAAATTCGAAATTCTGCCTTCAAATATGTGAATTTTGATTTTTTGATGACACTCACAATTTTTTTAAAAATTCGGTTTTTCAAACTTGGAATTCTACCTTCAAATCTGTGAATTTATGTATTCTGTCCTGAAATTTGGACTTCAAAGTAGAAATTCTAATTTCGAATCTGAAAATTTAGATTTTCTGGCCTCGAATTCCGACCTTCCAACTTAAAGTTGTAACTTTAAAACTTTACTAAAATCAAAATTTTAATTTGTGAACTTTATAAAAGTCAAAATTTCGATATACAAAGTGAGAATTCCCACTTTGTAACTAGAAATACGAAATTCAAATTTTCCATTTTCTGACTTAAAATTCATATCTTGCAAGTCGAAATTCCAATATTTGACTAGTAACTCCAAATTCAAACTTATGTATGCAACCAACAATACAAGCATGTATATTTGGTTGCCTATACTAAACATTTTTTTCCTTGCAGACGCGACAAATTTCGGTGAGCACTTATCAAACGTCGATAAGACCACCCTCATCACCAACCCCCTCCCCTTCGGCACCAGTTCCGACTCAGAATCGCCAACCGAGCCCGTCAGTCAACAAACCGTTCAAATGCTACGTGCCAGAGTCGTGCCAAAACAATAAACCCATCTCTAGTTTGTGTCTACTCTCATCTCTATTACTAGGGACAATACCACCAACCATTTAAAAAAAAATCCCCCCCAAAAAAATTTAGATTATTCCTTAGAGAAAATAAAAATGTCTCAATGTTTCTTAGCAGAGTTGGCGACGAGAAAGGAATGTCAGTGATATATTTTTGTATTTTTTGTAAGTAGTTAGACCTGAATATAACTGACCAAGTAACAAAAGAAATTAGTAAAAAAAACACAAAAAGATAGTTGAGTGATTTTTTTTGCAAGACTGAGATATTGAACTAGACCCAACATATCTCTATCCTTGTTCTATAGCCTTAAACGACATAGATTCGTCCTTTTTTAATTCGATTGATGTGTTTTATGGTGAGGCCTTGTACACTCTCTGTCATAAATTTTAGTAATTAAAATAAAGCATATCATTAGTAGCACTGTGTTTGCTTGAACCGGACCGCAGACTAAACAAGGTGTGACACAAAAACCACCAAAATTTTCATATTTTTAATAATCCATTCACTATTTTCATACAAATAGAGTTAACGAAAACTAAAACCTACAAATCTACAGTAAAAAAATTACCGTTACACAAAAATTACAGTTTCCTGTATTTGCAAAACCGAAACAATTGAATCATCGGTCATCGGAATGCTATTTCTGTCATATATATTGTACTGGTATTTGCACTATTGCGTTTACGCGAGAAAAACAAATTCGTGATATGTCTTAACACTAAATTAATCTAAAAATCCCTATTTACACGAGAAAAATCCAGTGAAGCACCACGGACATAAAATAGGAGGTAGTTGGGAAGAAACAGTTGGCAAGAAAAAAATCCCTAAATAATTCAGTCTTGGGGG